ACAACGAAAATAAACAAAACAAAAAATGGTCAAATGTCGTTTATTATCATGGTACTCATTAACTGAAGAACAGCGGCTTTCATGCTCATACTCGTTAATTTAGTTGTTTGTATATTTTTATCAAATCGCTTTTACAAATTATTCCCGATTATTTTTTCTGGATAATACTCATAATACCTTGAATATTCATGAAACTAAGTCGTAATTGCACTAATCCGCGAGATTTACTCGAAGATATTTAGCCAGATTTGCTGAATTAAAATCGAAAAAATCTCGAAAATTTTGAAAACAAATTGGTTCGATTACCAAAGGTTGCTGAGGAAAAATTGTAATAAATAAAAAATAAACGAGTTAATTGAATAATTATAGTTAAATAAGCTAATTCAATAAATAAATATTCGTAAATCTGTATGATTTTTACAACAAATCAAATTCAACTTAATGAAAACAATGGGATTCGTTAAGAATTCAACAAAAAGGACGAATTAACAGCAAAAAAATCGGAATATAAAATTTTTTATTTTTTCTGGTTAAAGACACTCCACAGTTGAAAATTTTTAGCGATATAAATTTAGGTAGGTTGCCACGCTGATTTTCAAAGGATAGGTATATTCTCAGGGAGGGAGCAGAGAGAGAGCTAAGCCACCGATTTTTAACGCAGTAATCAAGTTAACTGCTAACTACTGGACTGTCCTACCGCTTAGTTATAAACATACTTAGACATAAACATACTAGTAGATAATTTATCGAATATGTAAGTAAAAAAGAGCAATTAAAAAGATGAACATTAAAATTTTTATCAGAGGCAAATATAAATATATTTCATACTTATTTTTATTTGTTCTTTAAAATTTCATTCCTTTTCAATCCAATATTACTCGTTCTAACAGAATTAACCATTTCTGCTTTGGTTGTCTTTAGTGGAATAGTTATTGGAATAAAACTGGAAAACCACTTGGGGTTAGGAGTACAGTTGCGTGGCAATCACCGTCCGTAGCATAATCCATCCAATATTCGTAGAGAAAAGAAATTCGGATATTTCCCATTAAGATCTTAAAAAAATTAATCGCCAAAAATAAATTCAGAAATAATCGTATAATGTGGATAAACGAAAAACAAAAATCTCCAAAATGAAAAAAAAAAGGAAAAACCAGTGGAAATTGAAGGAAATATTGAATAGAATTCATTTATAATAATAGATAAGTGAAAGATGAAATTACAGTCCGGATAATGGTAGTTAGAAATGTATCCTTGGTGAAACGTTTATGGAGCTATCCCGCGTCTGTACAGCTGCGATTCGTCCGATGTTGCTATATGGTTGCGAGACATGGCCAGTGAGAGTGGAGAATCTACCTCTGACCATCCATGTCTAAAATATTAGTTCGCCAAGTGGATAAAATCTCACATGACTGCAACCACCTTTCACCTGCATTAATACTACGACCACATAGCATCGTCTTCGCTAGTTAGGACATGTTCTTCGCCGCCCACCACAGGCATTGACACATATTTCGTTACTGGCTGAGGTTTGTAATGGATGCGTCAAAAGCGATGACGGCCATTTAAGACTCACAAATATTTTGAACGTATGAGCGAACCGGAGATATATGGACTTCAGATGGACTTAAGACAATGGAAAAAGAATAGCTTCTATTACTGTCAGAGATGGCATCAGATCAAATAGCATGTCTTAACTCGGAGATGTTTTTTAGCCAGCACAGCCAGTCGCCTAACCCGTAATGTGAGAATTGTTAGAAGAAGAATGGATAAAAAACCTTAGATATTAAAAATGTTCGATTTTTTATGCGATTTAAATTTTTGCTCAGATCTCAAATTTCTTAATGAATTTATCTATTTTCACATTTTCCTTCGCACAACTAATTTTAAATAGTTGTATTTCTGGAAAAATTTCTGCTCAAATTAAATTGAATTTTTCATCAAATATAAGTGAATATTCAATTTAAAACTTCTAAATTTTCTCAGAAGAAAAAAAAGGAATTCGAGAACAGTAAACCTCTCTCAGATTATAAAAACCCGTATTATGCAGACGACCCAACCGCGCTTCCACTGTCTCCTCATAACCTCCTTGCGAAAATTCTGGCCACATTAACCAGCCAGATGAGCCAGTCTAACCAGAATTTGTGAGTGTTAACCGTACTGCCGTGATGAGAAGAAAAAAAATTTTTGGATTATGGCGATTTCCACTGAATTTTTCTAACTCTAAATTCGCTAAAATTATTTTATTATTTATTTTAATGAAGCGAATAAAAAATAAAAGAAACATTTCTATGGAGAATTATTTTCGCTCGTTTTTTCGCCAATTTTCAATGAAAAAATTTCTTATTTTTTAGCTTTATTTTATATTTTATAATATTTTCTCGCTGAAAAAAGAGATCGAATAATGAAAAATAAATTTAAAAAAAAAGAAATTTTAGAAAGAAAAGAAATTCAAATCAACTAAAGTTTGCACAACCAAAAATTTCGACATTAAATTTCCTAAAGCGAATGAAATATATAAAAATACTAAAATTTTTTAGTTTTAATAGAAAAGATGAAATTTAGCAAAAAAATAATAAAAAAATGGCCGAAAAAGGAAATAAATTAAGAAATAATGAAGTCAATTAAAAATAAAAGCATTGCTATTTTGAGTTTTATTTCCTAAAAATTTCGAATTTAAGCTTATTTTCAGTAGAAATCGATAGGGATAAGGCAACCGTCGAAGCACAATCAATAAATTTATAAATATTCTTCGACAAATTTCGAAAGCATATTGTTATTGCGATTATTTCGTCTATTTTAAATAAATAAATTAGTGAAAAAATTTGAATTTAATTTTTGCAAAAATGTTATTTGCAACTTGAATGATTTATAAATAAAGTTTATATTTTCAGGTCATAAGTCATTTTTAAATAACGAAATGTTTTAGAATATAAAGTTTAATGCGATGCAGTGCTATTTAAAAAACGATTGAAAACGGAAATGAAGTATCGAAGCAACATGTCTGGTTTCTGCCAGCCGTTGTTTATCACTCCAAAGATAACAGTGAGTGCAATGCGGGACCGAATCAGTTCGTATGAAGCTTCTCCTTCTCCTCGCACCACTTCTCCAATGACCACTAGAACAAAGCCAGAAAGCCACTCTGCGATGGAAATACAGCCATAACGCTGCCACACGAAGCGGCCCTCCAGCAGTCAACCAACCTATAAAAAAGAATGAAAAAACGATCACATCGCAGCCTACCGCGCATTCGGCCTCAAAATCGCTCTTCTTTGGAAGCACTATGGCTTAGATCCATCGAAAACCGTGAGCGAATCGACTTAACTGAAACTGAAGAAACAATTAAGGCAATTAAATAACTGGAATTATTTATTGCAACAAGTTGAAAATCAAAATCAAAAATTAAGAAAAAATATCAAAATTAAGAAAATGAGTGGGACAATAGAAACAAATTCGACACAAACAAATTCAAGAAGCATGCCAGTTTTCAAGAATCCCCTCCATCACAAATAACGAATAAATTTCATTAATTTCACGAGCAGAAAACTTTCGCCTCGAAAGTTTTTCGATCGACTAATTCTCTCCTTTTATAAATAAAATGGCATTTTTTTCCAATTCATCACCAATACAGTGCGCGTATTTTGAAAAATGTTAGATGACATTGATGCAAATTTTCTAAAATAAGCAGTAACAGCCGTTTAACATCGCTAAGCTTTGAAATTACAAATAAATAAATCGCCGATGGACAGCATAATCCTAATCTTTTTTTAGCTAAATTCAATAAAATTTCGTCCAAATTTAAAGGTTTCATAAATCTTTCATTCTGAGAAAGACTTAGTAAATTGATAAGGAAGAAAAATAACTACAATTTCAATTAAACTATGATTTGCGATCAGCTGTAAGAAAAAATAAGAGTTATTTATAAATAAAACAATTGTTTAATTTTAAATTTTTTAAAATGTTTAAAAATCGTCCAAATATAACAGAAATATTAAAAAAAAATACAAATACAAATGACATAATAAGCATCCACAGAACTATACAAATTTAAATGATTAAGAAATATTAAAAATTACAGATAAAGTATAAAAATTTGCTCGAAATGCGTTCGCTTACATGAAAACAACAAAATATTGTCTGTACACAGAATTACAGCCGAAAAAGCTGAAATGAAATACTTCATATTAGACCAATGAATTAATAAAAACATGATATTAAATATGAAATACAGAATAGCGCTATTCTCTTAGATCACAAAACGAAAATAGATGAAAAATTTAAAAAAAAATATGAAAAATGACAAACTGTGTAAAGTTTTAAAAAATTTAAAATTAAATGAACGGTGAAAGACCAGCAACTTTAAATATAAATAAAAAATTACATAAACTGAAAATTTGAAAACTGAAAATTTTATTAATTCACTTTGATTTCGTTTCGAGATAATTCAGAAATCAAAAAAAAAACATCCCTTTAACTTTTCACTAATGCTTTTTAAAAATAGCAAACTTGCATTAAAAACGAAAAAATGAAAAAATAAATCACACAAATCATCAAAATGCAGGAAACTGAATGACACTCAGATTACAAACATTACTGATGGAGAAATATGGGAAATAATTTTAAAAAAATTCATTCACTTAATCACTAATTTGTCAAATTCATAGCACAATTTTCAAAGTTTTTAATATCAATTTCGATTTTCAGATTTAAAAAAATAGCTATATTGAAAGAAAAGATGGAAAATTCCAAAATGAAAACTTTTCATATGCAAGCAGTCACCTATTTTAATGATACGCATCATTTTTTTGAAAGTTTATCTATTTTCATACAAACTTCATATAATTTTTCCCATCCATATATTAATTCAATCGATTATATCCATAAAAGGTATTGTTTAGATAGAAAAAGTGAAGGCTTAAACATGATTAACAGAAAGAAAAGAGAACAATCATGCACAGCCAGTGAAAAAATTGCACATTAATTAAATTAAAAGAATAACTGAATTAGAAACGAGATGAATAACCATTTAATTTAAACCAGCCATCGATTGTCTTGATACCTTTTCGATCAAACTGTACATCATTTAAACGCTTTAATGATATATGAACAGAACCGATAACAGAATTTTCACCAACGATTGAACCGCAACTCCAAACGGAAACTTCAAGTGCCTTCTCAGATAACATTTTTTCATTTACTGTGGAATAGTACAACTGTAAATTCATACGCTTTATTTTATTCATACGTTTTATTTTGATCATAACTGATCACCGAAAAAAATTGTAAATTTATAACTTCTTTCAAACATTTCTTGACAATAAATGATTTTGAAAAAAGTTAAAAGATGTTTTATTTATTTTAATACTTTGAAAACAATATTTCACGAAATATATATATATCCTCAGAAAAAAGTGAGAAGAATGATAAAGCGAAGATTCTATTACTTCATCTAAATAAGTACTGGCCAATCAACTAGATATCGTATATAAGAATCAGAAACACTGATGACAGATATTGCAATAACTTGAGATGCAAAAAGTGAAGGCCAAAGCAGTCCCAGTGAATGTGAATCTCTAAACTATAAAAATGGCCTAAGCAGATTCAGGAACAACATCAGAGATCACTGAGCAAAAGAATGCAAGCAAAGAATAGCTAAGATACTGCGCATAACTCCCAATCTCCCAAGCCTCTGGTAGGGGACCTTAGGTTGAGGATGGTCCTAATACATATATAATATATAAATCCCTTTATACATAAAACGTTTTCGTCGCTTCAAAAGATTCAAAATGGATCAAGTTATTGAAGTTAAAATTCAGATTTTCATAATCTAAAAAACAAACTTCTTCGTTAAATGTTGGTGTTTGTGTATTTTTCACAACTCGAGTTTTTCTTTTCGATATTCTTTGAGGATCGGGATGCAAATATCTGATAAATCATTATCAATTATATAGTACTTCAAGAATATCTATATAAGACTATATGCATAAAATCACGAGTATACATTTTCCAAAACTTTTACAATGAAAAGTAAATATTTATAAAAATTAAATATTTAAAAAACGAATAATTGCAACGAAAGTAAATGCTGAAATACTAACGTTTTAACATATGAATCTGGCACCTGTCGGTTGATAGTCTTTAAACCTTTGACATGACCAACAAATATATTCAACGTGCATTGCTGCTTACAATAACTGATTCGAAGAAATATGCTACCAGTAATTAATGCGATTCTTCGACAATCCACTTAAATTTTAAAATTCAACCGTAAAAATTATCAAGTAGGGATTAATGACAAGACAAAAAAAAGAATAAAAAAGGTTAACAAATAAATATGCAACAAAATGAATTGATTTACCATTAGAAATCGCTAATTTATTTGATTCATCTGGTGCACTATCTCGGTATATGATATGAAAAAAGGTATATACCAAATCACACTAAATAGTAAACATTGTATGGTTGATTTGCATGCAATCTGCTAGATTCTAGCAAAAAAACACTTCATGCAAAAAAAAGATATAATTTATGTACGAACTCAGCAGTTCTAAAATAAGAATATAGTTTCTAAAATAGTTTCACAAATTATAGTACTACTTTTGCTAACAATTTATATAAAATTTGGTGAGCAAAGAATAACTTACATGAGCTATTTCATCATTCTGGTCAAATAAAAGAAAAATAAATTGTTGAATATCGGCTTGACGACGCTCTGCGACTGATCTAATATTCGAACGACCCATACCAGATGTTCGTGAAAGCGCGGGTAAAGCAGCGATAGGAAATCTTGAAAATTATTGCCATAATTTTTCAAAAAATTCTTAGATTTCTACTAGATTTCTACAACAGTTAGTAGGAAAAAGAATTAAAAAGAATTAACCTGCGACATAGTTTGACATATAGTTCACTAAATTCAGGGAAAGATCGATAAATTATTGAGCTGACAGTTTCATTGACTCGCCTCACTTCAAGTTTGTACATCTTAAATAAATTTTCATTCATGAAATATAGATCAGATAAACTTAGAGCAAAAAACAGAATATAATAAATCTCTTTTACTTTTCCTTTTGATACACAGCTAAGCAAAGTCTGGCCAAAAATTGACGCACTAATCATATTAAGAACTTCAATGACTAAAGAGAACTGATTTTATACAAATAAGTTTAGAGAGAAAAATTCACGAAGTATTTTATGAATCTTTTCTTCTAACTCAGCTAAGTTAAATATAACCGAATAATATCGGACTTCGGATCCGAAGATTGCAGGTTCGAGTCCTGCCAGGGTCGAACATACATATATATAATATATTAATATAATATAATATAATACATTAATATAATATTAATATAATATATTAATCAAGGAAAACTTATAATTCCATGTAGAAAAAAATTAAATGCAGAACAAAGAATGAAAATATTAAGTGGAATTTTGTAAAAAAAATTTTTACGAAAAATTTTTTCGAAATAATTATTAATTAAAATATTAAAAATTATTCATAATATAATAAAATTGATCGTCAGTAACTTTTACCTCAAGTTATTTTTTTCATTTTTTTTGTTGCTAAGTTCCAAATTCTTTTCTTAAATGTTTATTATAGGTCCAAAAATCAAGCAATGGAATTTGCTTAATACTTTTTTGAATGAATAAACAAATAAAATAGAACGAATATGCGATTTTATTTCAAATTAACTATATAAATCCCTTCAACCTTAATTTATGGACTATAAATTACACGGTCCATGTAAATATCCCACCAATTATTCTAAGAAAAATCGAGTAATAATAAGAAAACTCACATATACTTTATCAGGCATATGCCACTTTTCGAAAGATAAAACAACTACACTTATGATACGACCTTCTTCTTGTTCCCTGGAAGAAAAAACCAGATTATTAAAGTCATCAAAATATTATCAGTGCAAGCCTATCAAATCAAATCAATCAATCTCTAGTCAGCAAAAACTTTAACATCAAAAAAAATCATAGAAATCACGTATAAAGTTGTGGAACAAATGAAAGCTTATTCGGATCGTCAAATCCTCCATAAATCATCGACGGAGTTGCTTTAAGTTGAACCAAAGTATGTGCAAAAAAATTCAATCTATAAAAAGATGTGAGGATTATCCACAAAAAAAGATTTAGACTATAACTTTATTGCATGCTAAGCTACAATAATGATAAAATTTGTGCCTTTTAACGTGCAAAAAAAATTAGTTTTGACAAGACATCAAGAATACCATTGAAGTTTTTTTAAAATAGCAGTCGATTATAAATAACAATCAGAACTAAATTTTACACTTCACCATCTTGTATGATAATGGCATATAAGCAAAAAGAGAAATACCGAGGAAATTTGCTCTTTAAACTCTCTTCAATCATTCTAGTGAATTGTACTGTAGCTTGAGTGTCAGTCAAATTTAACATCAAATTGCTCTGTACAAAATTAACAGCTTCCATGTCCATTCCCGGAATATCCGAACAAGTAACCTAAAAATGAACAATTTCTTTCCGTTAAATTAAATTAAACTCCGAGCCATCAATAATTAATATTCAGAGTAAATAAAATTAAACTCAACTACAAACATAAACTACATATACAAACCAGTTTCATAAGATTGACCAGAAGTGAGTATTTTTTCCTCAGCAAGTTAAAAGCTTTACAACAATTGTCAACAAACAATTGATAACGACCGGTGGCAGATTGCGATGATCCATCATTAATTACATAGGCCATATCGCTTGTGAAAATGAAAGGTACTCTGTCTCTTCAAATTTGTTCTGTTTAATTTACCAGATGTCCTTTAACACAAAAGGTTCCACATAAATTATAAAAAATCTTTAAAAAATTACCCACAAATCTTAAATTACACGTGTATTATAAAAAAAAATATTCACCTTCTGAAACCAGCTGCTTTTTGCCAATCGCCCATATATTTGCCAAAATCGATATGAAATACATGGCCTTTTGTAGTAACAAGAATATTATCATTGTGACGATCACCTACTCCAAGTACATACGTGGCAACGCACCATCCTGCACAAGAAAGTTGAAAATTTTCCAACGCCTGATAATAAAAAACCATTAAATTAAACTCCAAAAAATACATATACATAGATTTATTCATAACAATTTCTAGATTGAAATTCTTTTAGGTTGATGTCGGAATTAATTTATGAAACGAATATGTAATTAAACAAATATAATTGAAGACAGATTAAGTCATCGAAAATCAAAAAAATTCAAATGTCATAAGTAAAAAGGGGTAAAGCTTGAACTACATTGAGAGTATGTAACAAAAATTTCTATTTGAAAAACTATTAAGCCAGATTTACTAAATTACCCTGTTAAAAAATTGACGTGTAAAATAATCAAACTAAATTGAAGAAATTAAAAAATACGATTTTGTATTGAAATTCCGTAGGATTCTGCATTTGTAGCCAGTTTTTTAGTAAATCATCTTTGAAAACTCCAGTTGCACCAACGGATTTCTGGATTTCGCAAAGAGTACGACAGGATGGAACCAATTCTACCATCCCTTAAGAAGGCTATCCCTCAAGTATGAAATGAAATTTCAATTTTAGATGCTAAAAATGTGAAAATGTTAAATGCTAAAAGAAGAGACCTGTTCTGGCACTAAGTGGTATACATCGAAAAATAATCATCTTCAAATCAAGCCCTTGGCTAAGCCAGATATCATTCATAATTTTAACGAGTTGTAGCACCAGAGCATCTTGCCGCATGTCGTCACCAATCTTAAATAAAATAAAAATTATCTGGCACATCTGGGTCAAATTTTGACGTAAATAAAAATTCTCACCTTATATAAAATACTATAAGAAGTTTTCAGCCCTTTGAAAACAATTTTCAGTGGCTTAGTAAGCGAATTAAAAAAACTTGATTCAGAAACATTGATTCCGGTGCAAAGAAATGATGGGAGAATAGGAAGCCTGACATTGTTTTCAAGAATGCGAGCATCAAGCAACGAAAGATTGCGGTGCAAAATGGAAAGCTGAAAGTTTTACTTTTTAAAATGAAAAACTGCATCATCTATATATCTACGTACACAGAGCTATTTCTATTTCTTTGAAGTGAATTCTATACAAAAAAGAATAGAGAAAAAAACAAATTCTTTAAAATTTAATAATTTTGGCTATTAATTACATAAAAAGTACATATTTACAAGTACATGTACAAGTACATAAGTACCATTTTCGACGATTCAGATGAGTCTTTCATATTCTCTGAAATCGAATTTAATATTCTTAATAAATGATGCTGATTCTGAATATCCAAACGGAATTCTTCATCGAGAATTTGAAAAATTTGATTTTGTAACAATTTACAACGATTTCTAAAAGGTCTCTCACGAAGATGATTAATGCGTTGTTGCAATTGCCTAAAATAAATATAATATAATAAAATAAAATAGAGCATAACAGAAATTAATTTCTGATAAATTTTTGAAGCAGTGAATGAATTCAATGAATGTTTTGAAAAAAGTAATAAAATAAAGCAATCAAGAATCAGAGAATAATTGAAGAAAATTACCAGTACAATTCGAAAGCCAAACGTCTATCACCAGCACAGAGAGTAATTAAATAAACTGCAAGCGCAGAGTTCTCATAGGCCTCAAATCGCAAAGCCTAAAACTTTAAGCAAAAACTTTTCAGTTATTTTTTACCAAATCATCATGAATTCTTGTTGGAAAATATATGGTATAGATGGAATACAATAAAGTTGTTAAATATTAAATATTACCTCGACTAATTCAGGAAGAAAATTGAAAATAAAATCGGATGAGGCACTTTTCAACCATGTAAGTGCTTTTTCACGAATTACAACATCAGCAAAACTGAATCAAGAAATACATGGAAATATATATATATATATATATATATTACAATATTTGAAAATACTTACTGTGGAAGCAAAAGCTCTACTGACTGAACAGGACTTAAAGGAATCCAATCGTCCACCAATTGATACACGTTATTTAGTGAAGCCCAATCCCATGCGACCGCAGAAGCTAGCACTAGTGGCAGAGCATCCGGAATATGCATCAAAAAAGAACGTTTTTCCCATAGAATTTCTTTCTCATCAGAGCTCAAGCTGAAAATTTCATGTAATCATGTAATATTCAGACATATCTTTAATTTTTTTTTTCAGAATAATCTTTATTTCAATTCCGGATCAAATTATATATTATATTAAAATAGGTCTATCCAGGACAAACTGCGCTGGATGGACGTACTACGCCCAAAGGAATTGTTAACCTTGAAAATCTTCCGTTCTCGAGATGGAGGATTGCAATTATTTCCCTTGAATAAGCGGTTTCTAGTTCATATATATATATATATATAATCTCACACATTTCCTTTGGGTGGTATAGGTCATCTTCAACCTAAGGTGCTCTACTAGAAACCTAGGATTTTGAGATTGTGAGAGACCTGCGCAGTATCGTAGCTATCCTAACAATGCGCTCTTCTGGACATACCTCCAATGTTGTTATTGGAATCTGTTGGAGCATTTCCAATTTGCGGATTATGAAAACATTGCTTAATTTAAAATAACTTGGGTCCATTCTAATACCGAATGGCTAGACAAAAATTGAAATTACAATCCTGATAAGGTCAATTAGAAATGTCTTCCGGTGGAAGAAAGCTTTATGGAGCCGTCCTGAAATCACCACGAAAAAGAAGGTTCACGTCTATATAGCTACGACTCGCCCGATGAGTGGAGGAAATTAAAGTTATTTGTCCTTGACTACTCAGGTCTAAGATACATTTTATGTGGATTAAAATTCGCCGAGTGAATAAAATTTCATATGACCGCAAACATCTTCGCTCAAATACCACTTTCATTATCTTACATTAGCAACACCATCACAGAACGTCGAGTTCGCTGGCTAAAGCACATCCTTCGTCGACCACCACAAGAGTTGAAACATATTTCCTTACTAAATCCTGTGTTGGGTGGCATCATAGCGAGGCGGACCAATCAAGATCTAAACGGATAAAATCAGGAAAGATTTTGAACGTATACGTGGACCAGTAATATATGGAGTTAGATGATGGAAAAAGGAATGGCTTCTATTTCTGTCAACAGTGGCATCAGATTGCACATTTGGATATACGTCTAATTACAAATCTCTTTCAGTCCTTAACAAACCAAAGATCAGAATGTGATCATTTGGTTATTTTTGTTATTTGGGCAGTTTTGTGACTCGGTCGGTTTATTAATCAGTCAGTTGGTCAGTCATTTTCTACAGTACCTACCTATTCAATCGTAATTCAATTTGTTATAATAACTGATATTATTTTACATCGTTCTATTATATTGGTATCTGAGCAGTAATAAAATAATAATAAATCTACAACTAGTTGATTCAATTCTAATTCGTGAAACTGTCGACGAGTACGCAAGTCATTTCTTTTAGAAATTTTAGTATTTTTTTTTTCTGAATTAATGAAATTTTTTACGACATGGGGTGGAAATTTCCATGAACTATAAGAAGTTTCCGGTTCTTCATATAGCAGACTCCAACTATATCTGTAAAGCGTAAGTGATATGGTGTGAATTTTGGTTTTCCCAATGAGTTTGCTATTCCAGATCTATCATATTCTTTAGTGATGTTTAAATGTTGCTAAGTTGCCTTTTCATCGTGTGAATGTGAATGCTATTTATAGCTGGCCGTCTGTATGTCTACATATACTCGCCAGTAGTTTCACCTCATTAGCCTTAATTACTTTCTCTCTTTATTATCATACTTCTCCCAGAATGACATTCCAATGTCATTGCTATAAATTACTGTTAGATGAGAACGCTTTAACCATATTACTTGATATCAACCATGTATAGAAGATAGTTGATGGTATTCTTCCATTCTCGAATACATAACACCTGAGAAATTGAAAATTCCCTTCCAACATCCTCGTTATGAAATACAACAATTGACATGAAGCAAAAAATCATAAATAAATTGTCTATAGACGATCAGTGAAATATCACCATACGATAATTGAAGAACAAAATTTTCATTACCACTATATACTTTTATACGAGAAAACAATGAATTGTGTGTCATATGCCACAGCCATTAATTCTAGAAATGGATTTTTTTTTTTAAAGAGTCCTCACCATTACTAGCTAAACTGGCTCCCCTGGCTTGTCGCATTGGACAAATATGCCAGGGAATCCTTTGGCGATAGAAGTACACAGGAGTCACCAGCATCACTCGGATTTTTGGACAGGTTTACTCCTGCGGAGAATAGAATTTCAGTATTGGTTCTCCGAATTAAGCAATCCACTGAGCCATCTTATCTCCGAGGAATGGATATAGAAATTAGAATAATAATACCATCTTTGGAAAATGCCACCTTTGAGAAGCTGAATAACAAGAACAAAGCACAACGAAAAATACAAGAGGAAAAAAAAATAAGAACTACACTGCATTAGAAGCCTTAGGCTCACAGCACTGGCCACCGGGTTAAGCAGATGCATTAAGGAAGCAGAAATCAAAAAGAAATACCCTATTGTGCAAAGAAGCATCCAATTACCAATTGCAAAAATATAGTAACAGTAAAGCCAGTACCAGTAGAAACTGAACAATAATGGAGCATATGAGAGAAAAAGGAAATTCATAACACCATAAAAAAATGGTTGACAACCAGAGAATAAGCCATAGCAATTAAGTATCACCTGACTCAATGGGAAAAACAAAATCCGTGCCATAAATATGTACGCCACTTAAAGGGATATGTGAAGGACAGGGGTTATGAATCGGAATCGACGAATTGGGTGCCAAAAAGACACGGAATAGTCAGGGAGTGCACTCTTCTATGATCGCGAATAATCACTGGATAGACACCTCCTAAGTCTAAGACATTTAAACATATTTAGTCCTATTTATAGGACAATATAATATATACATACAAATAAATATATAAGTAAATACGCACGCCGCTGGCGTTGTAAGATGGACAAAGGAAGAAAACTGTTGTTGTGAAGACTAGGAAACCCTTTACAATGCATGGAAATTTCCACCTCAAATTTAACAACTAAAGATTATAGCTAGCTGGAAAGAAGTCGGATGCACCATGGTAGATGTGGGAGTAAAGTTAATGTCTTGAACAAAAGCAGAAATGAGAGATGGCACCAAATGAGGAGAGGAGACCTAAAGCATCTGCAGACACTAGAAAAACAGCAATGTACCATAGCAAAGCATCCTCCATGGATTATACCATCGATAAATGCTGATATCGAGAAATACAAGATGGCACCAAAAGCTGTTGAAAGGAGATCCTTCTATTGGTTGGAAAAAGTTGGATTAAAAGTCACATTGACACAACCATAACTGTAACGGCAGGTACCAAGCATCCACTGGAATGTGAATCCATGCTAAACAGAAGTACAAAAATGCCTCAAAAACAGCCCAACACCTAGTGGCAAGATGTAAAATGCAAGCAAGAACAATATTTATTGAAAGAAATAACCAAGTAGCTGGCATCATCTCCCGGAACATCTGCATATATCTTGAGTCCTCCCAAGACTAAATGCGCGATTCCTCAGAAAACTGTGGAGAATAAGGAGATCCTGTGGGATTTCGACAACCAGAGAGACAAACAAGAACTGGCCAATCAACCAGATACTGCAGTATTATACAAGTATTAGAAATTAGCACTAGTAGTAATATCAAGTGACAGGAAGAACGAAAGAAATTTAAGAAATACCAAGAGATGAAAAAGGAACTAGAGAAGATGTGGAGACTGAAGGGCAAAGTAGTCCCAGTGATAATTGGAGCACTAGGAACCATAAATTAGAAAAATGGCTTCAGCAGATTCCAGGAACAGCAAAGATCAAAGATCTTTAACGAGAAGAGAAGATCTTAACTGGTGGAAAGGATATTGCGCACCCTCAATCTCCCAGGGCTCTGGTAGAAGACCTTTACCACTTACATAGAGAAAGGGATTTTATATATATATATATATATCACGATCAAATAATAAAGACAAACTTGTGTGTCACACCGCCTTCTACAATATCCAAAAGATATTGTTGCGAATCAACGTCCAGTGATCCAAAATCACGTCTAATACTGAAATATAAAATTTGGACAATTAAAACATTTGATATAACGAATAACCCCATTGAATAATATCCAAAATTGCAGTAAAAACAGTAAAAATAAAGGTATAAAGACATTTAAAGATTTATAAGTAGAGAATTAAGTAATGCAGAAAACAATCAAGAAAAAATATCAATTAACCTTTTTTCACCGAAACTAATATGTGGAAAAATTGCATCAAAACGAAACTGGGGCATTGATATAAGAACAACTATGTCATCTTCTTCTTCAAATAAAGGAAAAGGCCCCCAAGGTTGGACAACACAATCATCTATTTGTGAAAGTGGTAAAAGTAACGGACCCTGACGAAATATACTGAAAAAGATGAAATTGAAAATAAGAATTAAACTCGAGTTATTGCATATGATAGCATTTATGATTCTCGATATGCAAAAAACAGAAATAAAAACATGAAAATAAAAAACCTCTAGGAGTAATAAATGCGTAATAAATGAATAAATGCAAAATAAATGCTATCATAAATAAAAATCGAACAAGCAAACGATAAAAAAAGCTTACCCTCGATGAGTGAACACTGGAAAAGAGCCATAGGCCAATTGTTTTTCGAAAACTCGATTTTCCTTTAAAAACATTTCATTTCTTTTTTCAGCTAATTTTCGACAATTAAAAAATAACTTACAATATTTGCATTTTGTGATTGATCAGTAGGTAATGCATGATAAAGACCATATAACAGAACCAAAATACGCGTTTCTCGAGGCAAAATACAAAGAGGAATATCAAATTTTGCCTACAGAGATAAATTTTCATTAAAAAATAAAAATCAAATGTTAAAGAAAATTTTTACAAGACATATACGATATTTTAGCCTGAAGATTTTAAGTTATGGGTATATATTCAAAGTCATATATATAATACAAAGCCGAACATTTCTTTTTAAACTTTTTGGAGCTTCCCAGATAAATTGTTCAGAATATTGAACATTGTTGATTAAATTTTGAACCGATAAAAAATATAGGTATCAGCATTTCATTTCATAATAATAATTGCAAACATACCAAAATATCCACTTTGCAAAAGGAAAAAAAATGATCCTTAGTAATCGGTTTGGGAGACTCCTTTATTCCATGACAGATTTCTTCAGTGCCATGTAAGACATGAACAGCAGTACAATAAGCATAGAAGCGTAGTTTCCAATCATCTGGTATATTATGTACCGAATCAATGTAAATTTCTAAATATTCATCGACTGAAACAATTTCACGATGAGTGCGTTCACCTACTTCAAACGAAGCCTGAAATAAAAAACTGGACATTATCGATTTGGTGATAGAGTTATTTGTACATCTATTGATAACTTTTCCTAAATAAAAATATCAACCTTACCTTTAAAGGAGATACATTGAAATCGCAATTTACAGAATTACAATACATTTGAATGAATTTATGAATAGCAATAATTAATTTATGTGAAGCTGAAGTTATTTGCTCCTAAAAATTCTGCGAAACACTTGGAATAAAATTTATATTTAAATAGTTACTTAAAATACTTAAAAATATGAATTCTCCACAAATTTGTTCATTCAAAAGTAATTATTTAAAATAAATAAAATAAATAAATAAATTAAAATAAAAAAAATTGTTCAATGAATTTTCCAAAAATATATAATGAAAATCATTAAATTACGAAAATTATAGCTTAACAATAAATATGCACAAACCAAATTTAATGCCGAAGAATATAGCTTCAAGGCACTGGAAATATCACTCGGCATAACTCGACCAAGTATTGTACAAAGAAGTTTAACAGTTTGCACAACATTACGTTTATTTTTGGAAGCTACAAAAAATAGATTTAAAAAAAAAATTAATGACTTTGTATATCTTATTAGTATAACAATCTTCAAATCCGCTTATCCAAAATTATTCAAATGTTTTTAAAAATTATTTTTGAACATTTCACCAATTTTTAACGAAATTCCATTAATTAAAATGATACATAGCATTAAGAAATGAAATTTTTGCTTAAATTTTTAAGTTTTAACTTTTAATTTTTAATTTTTATTTTCGTAAATCTAAAAGTAAATTGAACTATTTATCGTTTAACAAAAAAATAATCATTATTGACAAATAAAAAATTAAAATTTTTTTAATTTTATGGTAATCTGGATTCATTTAAAAATTAAACCCACTTTAGTTTGCAATCTAGTTTTCATCGTTAGAAAACAAACAAACCTTTATCAAAACCATAATCTTCGTTAGTATTAAGAATTTCCTTCTTCAGTGCCTCGAGAACTTCTTGAACACTACCTTTCGATGCAACCAATAGCTTATTCTTATTCGATTTGCTTAATACATTGGAAAAATAAAAAGCAATAAAAACTAACAACAATTTTGTTACAACATATTAAATATTTCTGAAAAAAAAAATCGATAGGAATTATCAACTTTTCTCATAAGATAATTTTTCATCTCAGCAAAATCAAAATTTAAAAATTTTAAAAATTTTAAGAAACTTAAAAAATTTAAAATTTAAAATTTAAAAAATTTAAAATTTTAAAACTCAGAAAAAATGAATGATGATATTTCGCTAACCACAAATTACGTGATGTATCACCGAAAGTTGATATATCCAAATTTCCAATTTTTCTGGCAAAAGAAGATGCTAATTTGCCAACCTGTGATAATACAAACAAGTGATAATCAAAGGACAAAAAAGCAAAAATAGTTCAAATACAAAAACCTCAAGTCGTATATCGTTACCAAACGCAAGCGCTTGCCCAACGAACGGATTTTCACCAAGTTGAGAATTATTGGTTAAAAATTCGTCAAGACCATATATCTAAAAAAGAAAGATGATACCGTTAAAATA